ATTTTCAATTAATAAATGATTATATTCATTTAATTAGGGTTATATAAGAATTTAAATAATAAAAGTCAATTATGTTTCAACTGTTATGCTAAATTAATATTTAGTGAGTGACATTGATTGATTGCAAGCTGACATAGTGAAAATATAATTTATATGTATTAATCGTGTTTGAATTAAATAGAGTTTTCCATTAAGTAATAATATCATGATTTATATATTTTCTTTTTGTCATAATTTAAATTTTATCATATGAAAAATTACATTTTTATTTTCAAAGATAAATTACATTTTTTATTTCCTGCTTCAACAAAAACATTTTCTCTTTATATATTTTTTTTTAAACAATAATAAAAAAAATAACTAATATAGATTGATGTATTAAAAAAATGTTAATATAAAATTTTCACCGCTTAAATTTAAATATAAAATGATATATATAAAAATAAAACAATTGCCAAAATAAATAATAAAATAACATTGATCATCATATTCAACAAATCGAATCTAATAATTAAATAGTATTCATTTAATAAAAATTTAGATAGTCTTATTAATTTTTAAATAATAAAATTAAATCTACATATTATTTTATAGATTATAAAAAAAATCGTTCATGTGGCAATAAAAAAATTTATTTTTAGCTTAAAGGGATATTAAGAAGGCATTAAAAAGAATTTTTTGCTTCAGGGGGCTCATAGGCGTAGCCGGGGGAGTATGCATGGGGAAATTCCGCCCCCCCCCTTCATAAATTTATCACTTTTTGTAAATATCATTTTTAGCTAATAAAAAAATATCCCCCTTAGTCCTCCCCCCACTCCCTGACCCTCAAATATGTATGCATATATCTTAAATAATAATTTTAAAAAAAGAATGTAAAAGTTGATATTTTTTTATAAAACTATTCATCATAATAGATAGATTTTTGGGAAAATAAATTTATAAATATATAAAATGAACCAAAAATGTTTTTTAATAAATGGAATATAAGCCAAATATAAGTTTTAAGACAGAAGTGAAATGTATTATAATTATTAATAATAGATCCATAAAATTACTAAATAATATAATATATCAAATATAATTTTGTATAGTGAGTAATTTTAATTTATTAATCTTAATAAAAGTAAAATATAATTATAAAACTATTGATAAAATTATATCATAAATTTAAAAAAATATTAAAGCACAATACAAACAGTGGAATATTATATGTCATAGATTTACAGTATATCTAATTATCAAATGACAATCAAGTAATTTTTACCAATATAGCGAATTATATATTTTACAGAAAACTATAAAATATAGATAAGGACATCAGAAAATATCTTTTAAAGACATTGTGGGATGAATAATATGAAGATTACATTTAAATATCATTTTTACTTAAAATAAATAATGGCGTTAATAATTGAATGCAAATTGTTGCTATATTTAATATCAAGAGCATTGATTAGTAAAAGTTGTTAAATTATTAACTGTAATATATTCTCTAACTGTCAAATATGTTTGTAAAAGTGGAATTTTACCTAGTATTTTATAACTAATTCTATATAATAGAGTAAAATCAACTATATGTCTACTTACTTTTTATAAATAAATTTCTTATAATTGTTTGGAATAAATTATTTCCATGCTTTTATATTAAGGTATATACAATACAAGTAATTTATTATATTTTTATTTTATATAAACTAATAAAAATATATTTCATATTTGTTCCAGGCTTATTTTTTTTATTAAAATTTGTAAAAATATTTTATGACTATATATAGACTAAAGTAACCAGGCCGAAAAAAGGGGGACTGGGGGCGAAGCCCCCAATAATTTTTAATCCCCCCCCCCCCCTTATAAAAATTTTGGCTACGCCTATGAGGGGGCTATTCAAATTTTTCAGGGGGCTCGAGCCCCTGCTTTCCTCTCTCCCTAGTGACGCCACTGTTTAATATGTTGTACAGTTTTAAAAATATTTTTGACTAACTTGGCAAATCTGTCATAAAATTATTAAAATAACAATTAAAATTATTAACTTATATTATATTTAATATATTTTACAAATTAATTTGATATTAATAAATATAGTGTTTTAAAGGGGAGATGATAGACTTAGGCCAAATGGCTTATTAGCAAGAAATAAAAGCTATATTTTTTCTTATTTATACGCATTTTTCGAATCGATAAAAAGTTTCAAAGTTAATTAAACGAAGTTAATTGCCCAATATTTTTTGATGATGTACGCAATAGTTCTTTTCTTACTAAAGGTATATTGTTGTAATAGACAAATTTATAAACCCTTTTAATTAGATAATAAAAAAATCTTCTTTACACCTTTTGAAGGATCTTCAAGTGACCTAGTAGAGATAGACTTTGTTCAAAGTTAAAAAACTGTAATTATTTACAGTTAATTGTAATTCTTAAAAATCATGATTAATTTACTTTTTTAAAATATTTAAAGCCATAGATGACACTTCATTAAAATCATTCAATATACATTTAAACATTTTTATAATTCAACTACCAATATTTCGAGAAAATATGCTTCTAAAATTTAGTGTCAGTAAAAAAGAAAGTCCCCCAAAATATAGGAAGGGTGCCAACTGTTCCATCACAGATGGAAACAATTGAACTAGATGGGAATCGTTTTTACTGGTAATTTAAAATTATAAAAAAATTTGCCTGATATAGGTTAATATTTTATATAGTTGTAATTTTTTATACTAATATTCATAGGATATGGTTGTGTTTCTTTCTTTACCTTAAATTTTAATGATTATATCCTATATTAATTCAGAACATTATTTTTTTTAAAGCATGATTGATTTTTAGATAGTAACATTTAATTTTTTAAAAAAATAATTAGATCTATAAGTATGGAGATTACAGGAAAACAAGACTCTTATGGTTTGATTAGATCACATATGGTCTTGCTGATGCTGCAAAAAAAATATATTAGATTATGCTTAAGGTCAAAATACATGTGAAGATGATGTGCAACAGTATATAAGAGAAAAGGTAAATAAGAATGCTGAATGGGTAATGATGCAAAGTGTTGCCACATTTCTCAATACCCCGATTATGATGTATGCTAACTATGGAGCTTCATTTTGCTGGCAAATGTATCCGCTATTTAAATATGATGATGGAAATATAAAAAACATTTATATTAACAATTCTGAATCCCATTGTTAATATTATTGATTTTGAAGATTAATTACAAATGTTGATAATTTTACTAAAAGTATGTTAGTTGATTGTATTTGTCTAGTTTTTATGCATATTTCTTTTTATTTATTCTATAAGCATGTTATAAATAAATATATAGAATATATCTTTTTTAATCATACCATTTTTATACACACCAATTATTATGTTTACTTTAGATTAATTTGTATTGCTGTACAATTTTTCCCTAATTCTAAAAATAAATTTGGAAATTTTTATAAAATCTAAATTAATCTTTTTTTTAAATCATCAATTCAAAAATGACTATATTAAAAATTTAGTATATAACATGAATATCATTTTTTTAAATAAAAAAATTGCCACCAAATACGTTTTAATAAAATGTTAAAATTCAAAATGAATATTTTAATGCCAAAAATTTTGCCAAAATACATAATTTGACCAGTTTGAAGTAATTCTAGAAACCCTGAAGAACCATAAGAAAATCTCAAGAAGTCTTTTAGAAATTGGTATAAATATTTTCCAAATGGTTCATAAGTTTTTAAAATGATATTAATTTAGGTAAATTAATTAAGAAGATTATGGAAGCTCATTAAGAGTAATTTTTTCTAAACTCTCTTTATTAAAAAAAAATATCAAAAGATATAATTTATAAATTTCAACATAAATTTAATAAAAAAATTATATAAGAAATGAGCAATTGTTTGTAGATTTGAAGCTTGCTAGGGATGTTGTATGTCAATTTTATAGAATAAATCATCACAAGGTAATTACTTTAATGTTTCCAAGTAACCTTTAAAATAAGACATACAATATAATTTAAAATGTATTTCTTTATATTTATTATTTTCTCAATCATTCTAAATTTCAAAAAAAATACCAAAACATATAATTTATAAATTTCAACATAAATTCAATAAAAAAAATTATATAAAAAATGAGCAATTGTTTGTAGATTTGAAGCTTGCTAGGGATTGTTGTGTGTCAATTTTATAGAATAAGTCATCACAAGGTAAGAACTTTAATGTTTCCAAGTAACCTTTCAAATAAGACATACAATATAATTTAAAATGTATTTTTTATATTTATTATTTTCTCAATTATTCTTAATTTTCTAATTCATTGCCATCTTATTTTTATTTTATATATCAAAAATAAACAACTATAATTACTTGGAGTGACCAAAATTTAAAAAAATGATATATAACATTACTCTAAAGATGAAAATAAATTCTGAGATAATTGAATTTCGTTTACGATATTATTACACATCCATTTTCTTGACCACTTCGTAACTTTTTATCGATTCGGAAAATGTGTATAAATGAGAAAAAATATAGCTTTAATTTCTTGCTAATACGCTATTTGGCGTAAGTCTATCATCTCCTTTTTTAAAGAGCAGGAATTTCTAAATAAGTAATATATTATTGTGTCATGATAACTTTTTAATTATTTCAAACTGATTTGATATAAATTGCTCAAGTGAATGGATTTATATAAATAAACTAATTTATTTTAAAGCAATCTTAATTATTTCCCGTTTTTTTATCCCAGTTTGATGGGCGAGTGAACCAAGCATTGCTCGCTGTTGTATATATAACTCTGTTATATATATAACGAAAGGTGCCTAATATCACCTACATATATAAATAGCATAAATGCATTACATGAGGTATACTTTTTATGTAATTTAAGCAATTTAAGATAGTCTAATTTTAAAATTTCGATGAGACACGTCTATTGGCATATGTCATTATCTTTTAATATATTCGACAGTGATTAACGACAACTGCCATATTTTTAGAAATTATGTTTTTAACGTTTTTAATTTTTTTATACAAAAATTTATAAAAATGACGAAGAAATTATTTTACAATAAAATATTATATAAGATCTCCTTAATATTTTTATTTATAGATTTATCATTTCTAATAACATCAAATAAAATAACTAAGGTAAATATTTGATTCTACTATATTATTTTTAAAGAGTGTTAAATTGTTTATATGTTTTACTTTAAATTAGTATTTTTTTTTAAATATTACTCTTAAATCTATTTATATTGAATAAAAATATATCAATGATTATCGTAATAATATTTGTTTTGAATTATTAATTTATCTATGCATTATTTTAAAATTTATTTATACAAATATATATGTTTCAATATGTTTTTTTTAAATCATGGGTTAATTTTTTCAACTTTGCTAATTTTTTAGGTGTTTTTTAAATTTAAAAAAAATGTGATTTTGCTAGAAATATCTTCTGACATGTGTAGAAAATCACTATGAGATTATTAGAAAATTTTGTCTAGGATAACTTAATAAATTTATATATTTATTTTTATTATATATTTTATATAAATTACCAAAAATTAACCTAAATTTGGCTACTCCTAAAATTTCTTATAAGCTGCTGCTCTGCCCACTTCCCTATTTGTTGTATGGGCATGATTTTTAAGCATGGCCCAAACCAGCATTTTTGAAATTCACTTTTATCCTTGAGCCAGATTTACCTGAAATTTTATTTAATCTTAAGTTTGGCCTTAAATTTTTAATTGAAAAATATAAATTAATTAAATTTTTATAAACTCAAATAAAATACCAATTGTTTTATTTTTGTCTGAAATTCGAATTATCATTTTATTTTGATTAAACTAAAAAAAGCCCAGACTTGCTTAATTTCTTAATATTTTAAGGCCCAATTATGGCTTTGATTTGAGTAGTACTCTGGATGATACCACTATATGATAGTAAGGTTTTAAAATTCCATGTCAAATCAACCACAAAAACGAGATTTTTGGATGACCCTCTTTATAATGAACAAAACTTGGCATAATAGTTATCTGTGCTCAGATACGTATGCAAGAATTTGGTTTGGGGGGAGGGGGGATATAAGGAATATCATTGAGCATAAATTTATTAGGACTAATAACTCTAATACACAATTTTAAATTAATGTGAATTATAAAAAAAATTATATATATAAACTGGCATATAAAAAACTATAAAATTAATGTGAATTAAAAAATATTAAACGGATATAAATGGCGGCATTGAATAACTATAAAATAAATGTGAATTTAAATTTTGGAAATATAAATTAATACACAAAAAGTTTCTTATGAATAATTGTATTTTGTATGTTTTGAGCTAATTTTTCAATTATCATATCCTTGATTGGCATTAAATGCCTATGAATATTCAAAAGATCCAAACCATTCAATCTAATTTCAGAAGTTTTACTTCATAGGTATGTTTTTCAGAGACTTGCAGGCCCGGCCAGACTATTTTAATTTTTTTAAATATACCAGGGCCAGCTCTAAATCTTTTTAAAAAAACACTCGGGCTGGGCCTGAAATTTTTTTTTAAAAATATTCGGGCCTGTCTATATATTTTAAAACCAAATATTTGAGATCGCCATTATTAGCTATAGAAATCAAAAATAAATATAATTTATTTTAGAAAAATACGGGCCGGGCCTGAATTCAAAAAAGCTGGACCGGGCCTGAAAATTTTTTTTTAAAAAAAAAACCTGGGCCAGGCTGAAAAAAAATTTGAAAAAAAAAATCTGGGCCATGCCCTGCAAATGGTACCTCTGCAGGGCTCTAATGAGAAAAGTTGCTAATATATATAACCATTTTAATACATTGGGAATATAATCTAAAATGTGTTTGGAAAATGCAAAGCATCCATAGCATTTTTTGGGACTATATCAACCATAGTTAATCTTTTGATCATAGTTATTCAGCTAGTAAGGCATCATAAAATACTTTAACATCTTCATGATAAAAATTTAATAAATATATTTTTTTTTTCTATCACCATCTGAAAAAGGTTGGAAGTTCTGCAGATTGGTAAGTGCTGCATGGTGATTTAAAAACCATTCATTTATTTGGGTTATAAATATATCTAAGAGATGGGGCATTTGTTTTATAATACTCTTCGGAGTTATAGAGATAATTATTATTTGACTAGAAATTATAATAAATATTACTCCACTAATATTTGAAAATAATAGGTAAATATTACGCCAAGGAAAACTTGAAATCGAATTAATTGATAAAATAACTTAGTAGATGAATGTTATAAATAAATGTAATTAATATATATGAGATAGTAATAAATATTAACAAATATAAATTAATATTAACAGTAATATCTATGAAAAATATAATCCGGCATCTGCATTTTTTGCCCCACTGCGTACGCGCCTGTCGGTGCTATATATTTTAGTTAAATCAAAATCTAGAGTACTAGCTCAATTATATCCAAAGTTATACATCTTCAAAGTCGATACTTGCCCAATGTTTAAAAAAAATTATATTTTGCCTTTAAAAAAAAAATGTTATTAATATTATTATTTTCTTGGAAAAGTTTATAAATAAAATTAAAATATAAAAATATGACGTGAAACTCTTTTCCTTAACTTACTTGCCCCTTCTAGGTTGGCCCCTTCTAGGTTGGCCCCTTTTTAAATTCTTTTATCAAAATCAAAGAGTTTTAATATTTTGACCCAAAAAATCTAAACCTCACTTGATCTATCATTTTATGAAGATTTCACTATAATAAAAACGATATATTACATTTAAATATAAGATGTGTGCTCCATAATAAAACTTAAATATTAATATTAAATTTTTATAAAAGGTCACCTATTTTTTTTGTGAATGATGCACACGAAATATATATTTTTTGTTCTTTGTACAACATATCATTTATGTTATATTGAAAAATTAAAACTTTATTGATTTAATAATAAAAAATTTTTTGTCAAAATTATATATTTAGTAGTAGGACAATGTAGAAAAAAAGTAAGAAAGAATATTCATACGATTGGATTTGACAAATTTTTAAATCTTTTAAATTTCATATTTTAGACAAAATAATTTTAAAAAAATCTCTTCAATAAATTATGGATAATATAAAACGTTTATCAGCTAAATTTTCGAAACGCTAGCTAAATTTACTGTTAAAATTCAGCAAAGACCTTATGACTCATTGTATATAAGAATGTTAAAAGTAGCGAATTATTCGAATGAAACATTGAGATGGATGCAGCCGTTGCCACAAACTAATTTCGTTGAAATACTTAAAAATATTTCTGATATCATTTTGATAGAATGGTCGAATTTTTTAAAAGAGTATTTAGGAAGATTTTATAGCATTTAAATTATTCTATGAATGTAGATTTTATACGAAGTGGAAGGGCAAAACCATAGCGTCTGGATGTGGAAAATTTGTTAAAAGAATTGATAAATATCATAATTCACAAATCATATTTTTTTACTCCATATTTTTCATAATTTATTTGGCCTTTTCTCTAAAAATTTATAGAAATCTTGTAAAAATGAGTACGAATAATCTATTCCTCTCATTTGACTATTCTGATTCATCCATCGTCAAATGAAAGTAACATTTAATTTATCCATAAGGAGAAAATTCTGATTCCCCGTCATGACGGGTTATCAGCTAGTATTAAATAATACATATTTAATTTAAAAGTAAAATGTTTTTTTTGACAAACATTTTGTTTTCAAAAGAAAAAGAATCACAAAAACTAAAGTAATTCCTCTAGAAAAGTAATATAAAATAAAATATATACAAAATTTATATAAATTGAACAATAAGGCAAACTTAAATATTAATAGAAGACCGTTACGGACCACTGTCATAACTGAGAAAATTATAAGACCGGTCTGGACTGCGGTCCTCGAAAAGACCAGCTTGTCCACAGTCTAGTCCCGGCCTTTGACCTTCCTCCTGGTTCGACTTATTACTAAACACTCCTAAGCAGCCTAAAATGTAAAAGAAAAATATAAAAATAACAATGCGACTTAAACCAAACCAAATATCCTTCAAATGCTGCTTAGCTTAGGCCAGACAGTATTAAGTATCCAAATTAAGTCAAACCAGGACACAGCTTTATAGTGCGCACAAATTGAGCGTTTCAAACGCTGCGTTGCAAATGCAACATTTTTAATAAATTCCTAAAATAAAGGATTTGTCTTTTGAAAATTATATTATCGTCTGCGTTCTTATTTCTTTAATTTCTAAATATTCCTTTTTAGGGTATAAGTAAGATATTTATATTACATTTTATATAATATTACACAGCGAATAATAATAAAAAAGCTAACCTATTTGCGTTTTTTAAAATGGTTGCTAACGCCAAACTGTAATTTTACCAATTTGCACGAGGTCATTTGAAATGCATTATTTGCGCTTGAAACGCAGCGTTTGAAACGCTCAATTTGTGCGCACTATATGCATATTTTTAATATAATATACTTTCATTGATTAACTTATTAACCCTCCTAAAATGTATTATTGTTTTTGAAAACACAACTGAAAAGGTTTACTTTTTTACGTAAAATTTACTAATTTTTTAATATTGATTTTTTGATCATCACATTTTTGTTGTTGGAGGGGTAGGGGAGGGGTATAAAATTATTTCTACCGTTTTAGGGACATTAAACTTTCCTTTATAAAATAACAATTGTTATTCGGAATTCATAGATACAGTTAGGATCAATGACATATATAATACCTAGACTGACGATTCATTTATTAAAATGCATTTTTAAGCGTCGTTAAAAGCAAATCAGCTGGACCCGCCATTTTGGTAACACATATAGTAATTATCCTCATGTTAAAAACTACTATTAAATTGATAACTTGCTTCCTTATTATCTCGATGATCCGGTAATTCTTTAATTAAGTTTGCATCAGATATAGGAATAAATTAGGCTCTCGTTTAAAATTTTAATAATGATTAGTGTAACCAAGATAGCGTCTCCAGCTGATTTGCATTAATGTACATTTTTAATGAATGAATCGTCAGTCTAGGTACTATATATATGTCATTGGTTAGGATACTTTTTATAATGATATCACACCATTAATTTTATAAAATTTTAATCTTATATTTATTTAATACTAGATTAGGCAAAAAT